TGAATTAATTAATACTGATAAGTCTTTTATACATTTATATACATATCTACAGTCCCAAGATTATAGTTTCCACACAATGTATGTTAAAGTAGTTATAACTAGACAAATTGCCAACAATCCTCACATAATTCACAAGTACTTAGCTCATATTCATGCATCACTCTATTCTGAAGTTTTTAGAAAAACTATCATAACGAATTTCTAATTATAAGAAAATATGAATGTAATAATATGGCAATCAGACTATATCCAGTGCCAACAGGGCCTTTTGCCCAATACCAAGTCTCATCAAGCCAGTTGCTATATGACAAACGTAGTAGTGATGGGCTATTTATATTATTAATTACTTGAATAACAACTATTCTTGTGCAAACTAAATTAAGTTGATGGATGAACTAGAATTTTTGTCAATTCTATTTAAGTCATTTGAAATTAGAATCAGGTGTACAATTTTTATTATTTATTTTTAACATCAATTTGTCTATTATTTATTTTACTTGAATTAAAATCGAATAAATTACCTTTTCTTACTGAAAGAAATTGTACAAACTAATATGACATTTGACTTACTGTCTTTACAATGTGTTGACATTGTTATTTTGGGCTAGTGGTACTAGAATTTTTTACATCGTGGACCCCTTTGAGTTTAATTCTCACTTTAGACTATTTCTTTTAGTATAGTCACATTATTCATTGCAGTAACTTCTTTTTTCTTAATCTTCTAATGAACCCCCAAAATATGTTGAGTACTCCCTAGTTTGAGAACCATTGTTTTAGACAATAAAACAGGAAATAGTCTGAAATTATAACTGTGATTGATTTTGGGGAGTTTCTAAAAGTAAGCTCCAAAAGTTAAATTTGCATATTAAGTCTAGCCTCTGCAAACTGAAAACAAAACAAAACTTGAATAAGATTATTTCAAAGTTAATTATAATTGATTTAGGATCTATGAAGTATAAGAAGCTTAAAATTGAATCCAAGCATTTAGTATATAATGTATTACAACTGCAATAAGAGCATGATCATATACAGTGATATAAAATGATCATAAAATACTTTATTAACCATTCAAAAATGAAAAGGGTTATTAAATATTGAGTATAAACAGACTGGATTAACTATTACATTTTAATATAATTAATCATTTAGAACTTGTTCAAAAAAATACAGATCTTACCTAAATGTTTTTAATAATTACATTAAAAAAAACAATTAGGAAAAATACCATAAGAAATAACGATTAAAGAAGCTTACGTTCGAGGTTTTCTGATATCCCACAAGCCAATCCCTTCTTTAGAATTAGCAGTAGCCAGTAACCTTGGCTCTACTGGGTTGTACATAACAGCATGAAAAGCCGACGTATAGTTAGCAAGCACGAAAGGATCTTGAATAAATGATATAATTATAAATGGACGATACTTTTCTTCCTCAGCACAAAATCACAAAGAAACTTTACACGATTCCTTGTATTACTTACTACCACATTCAGACAATAAGAAAAATACCAAATAATGTTTGAGAACTATACATCTGTTAATATGTAATGAAAAATTCAGTCAATAGAAAGATGTACAACATACAAGGTGAGCACAAAGTCTGAGCACCCCCTCCATGAAAGAAATAATTTATTGCATATTTACAAATCTCATATTGACACAGACTGACAAAAGGTTCGATTAATAATTACAAATGTCTGTCTGTTGTCCTTCATTTTCATCACGTAGAATGATTCATCTCTATTTGTGATATGAAATCCTCCTTAGCATATTAGGGTGACCTTAGCAAAACTTTCAACAATTTTTTGTTTCAAAGCATCAGTTGTTTCATATTGTTCCTTTACCACAATCATTACTAAAACACGAAAAACTAAATCGTTAACATGAGTTTTAATTAAAAAAGGTGCCCACTGCTCAGACTTTCTGCCCACCCTGTACACAAGCAAAGAAAGGTCACTTTAAAACAATCTTGAATTCAATTATCATAAATGCTTATATTACCCAAGATATCCTAAAACAATTCTGATAATTCAATAGCATTTAAAATTATAAGTAATTTTCAAAAATGGTAATATTACCCACAAAGGTAATTTGTACCATTCAACATTACTATGACTAGAGGAGGACTTTATTAATTAAAAGTATATTTCCAACAAATTATTATTGGTAATCAGGTACTTATTAAAAAGTATTAAGTTTTATTATTTAAATATCAATATACACTTGTTACTAATTTGAACAGTAATGGAGTATTTCATTCTTTAAAAAAGGTACAATATTAATTCATGTTTACAACAATACTGTAAGATATCGAGTTATGTAATACTATATTATCATTTCCTAAAATAACCACTTTTTAATATAAATATGATTCACGATATTAACTTGCAATTTTCTATTTATATTACGCATAAACTGATTAAAAACCTGTTGAACAGTGTCTGGATTAACTTTTACACAAAATATAAATTATTATTTGATCTGACTTAAGAAGCTACCTTTGGGAACACAAAATTTAATAGTTGTTCTTAGTTGATGATACAATTCTTCTCTTTATTTTCTTCTCAAAATCTTTCTCATTCTTCACTATTTTTCAATTGTGTCCTCAGTCTTTTTTCTCTTCTGTTAATGTGGCAATCTCATTACATCATTCTGAATCTTCAGGAGATTCAGACTCACCAAGTTCACCACTCAAAGTGGAACATGCCTGTTCAGACAATTCAGGTTCACCATGAAGTTGATCAAAGTGGAGCATGCCTGTTCATGTGCTTGGCTTCCAGTGGTCAAGGCTCACCATAAAGTTGATCAATCAAAGTGATACATGCCTGTTCATGTGCTTGGCTTCCAGTGGTTAAGGCTCACTATAAAGTTGATCAATCAAAGTGATACATGCCTGTTCATGTGCTTGGGCTCCAGTGGTCCAGACTCACCATTAAGTTGATCAATCAAAGTGATACATGCCTGTTCATGTGCTTGGGCTCCAGTGATCCAGGCTCACTATAAAGTTGATCAATCAAAGTGGTACATGCCTGTTCATGTGCTTGGATTCCAGTGGTCCAGGCTCACCATAAAGTTGATCACTCAAAGTGGTACATGCCTGTTCATGTGTTTGGGCTCCAGTAATTCAGATGCACCATGAAGTTGACCAACTGAAATTGAACATGCCTGTTCATGTGTTTGGACTCCAGTAATTCAGATGCACCATGAAGTTGACCAACTGAAATTGAACATGCCTGTTCATACGTTTAGCCTCAGATCACTATGAAGTTGTTCAGTCAAAGTGCACTTGGCATCCAGTCTGATTTCCATGAGCAAAATTTTTTAGATTGTGTGCTAAATGTATTAGCATGCCACCTCTCTTGGAAGCGTGGTAGTCTCAGGTGAAATTGATTTCCCTCAAAAGTATGTAAGATAGGTATGCAAAATAACAGGAGATTCGATCAAGTTATATATTACAAAGTAATTATGAATTCTCTGAACCTGAATGTGAACAAAATAGACTGGACATAAATGTAAAAAACATAGTGAAAATAATCTTTATTTATTCAGTATGACAGTTGCCTTTACCGGAAAGCTTAAAGCTGAGTAATCTACAAGAGCTTCTTCCAGACTAAGAAAGCATCACATTTACATACTTAAACTATAACGTCACACTTTCCTAGGGCAACTTGTGATTCTTGGGTAGTAAATAGGGGGAGGATATAGCCTCTAGAAATCATCTGACAGGAAAGTGGAAAAAGTCACTGTTTACTTACATATAGTATGGTCAAACTTGCACAAACTTTTCCCATAGACAGACAAAGATACTATCTTAGATGAATGGCACAGAACAATAATTTGTTAGGGAAGAACAAATACAAATTGAACACGTACCTGAACAAATAAAAATTTTGAAAATTTCTCTACATTAAAACAAGGAGGATAGCAACACATAGTATGCCTGCATACCAAAGAAATCTAGTTATTTGCATTAATATAATTTCTAGCCAAAAATAAACAAATAAACGAAATGTAACACTTTCAGGAGAAACGCTGTGTACAGAGGACACACCCTAATACAATACATCTGTCACCTCATTTAATACTGTTATACTTTACAAAGTGTTGATGATTCTTTGATAACAGTACTTTTCTGCTCACTCATCTTACCAATTCATTTTACAGGAGCATTGAAATATTTACTCGATAACATAGTACATTTACCCATCAACAGACACTTAACACAACTCTATCAATGACTGACTGGTTTTTGCATTAAACCATCAAACTAATCATGGTTTTATATAGACAAATTAATGATGACACTATGTAAATAAATAAAAAAATTAGTTAGGAAATCTGAGACTGAAAATAATTTTAGAATCTATTTACGAAATCACACTTACTTTGCTTGTATTGTCTGATAAATTGTGGTACCAGACTATCTGACATGAATTTACACTAACTAATCACTGCAATTGGTTCACAACATCAACACTGAGATATAGTGTGTGTGTGTGTGTGTGTGTGTGTGTGTGTGTGTGTGTGTGTGTGTGTGTGTGTGTGAGAGAGAGAGAGAATGAATTGAAATGAATCAAACCTGCAATTACCCCCCACAAGAACACCTTAAATCTGAATATATGTTGGTTTTATAAAATAAATGATGGTCTTGTGTTAATGTCTACTTTGGACATGAAAAATAAAGCTGAATATCAAAAATTCTTGAGAAAGAATATATCTTTAACGGTTGTGACACATACAACATGCACTTCTGAGGCTAGTTTTTGTTATTTCAAATGTATTAGAAGTAAATTCTGTATGGACATAGTAACTGAAATCCAAAAAGAAGGATGGATGTTAACAAGATGACAGGAATTGAAATTCAGCATTATAACTTTTAAATTTTAATCAGCATCAGGGAATTTCCTCCACTGCACATCAGATATCTCTAGCCTCATGACAGCATTTTTTCAGTGGGTAAAATCCACTGTAAGTACTTATTTTAACTTGCATTTTACAGGGATGAGATCAGCCACAGGGTTTTATGTACTATATGATGCATTGTAACCTATTTTGGGGCACCAAATGCTCACATTATTTACGACTAAAACAATCAGTGAACAGTGGACTTTTACCCCTTTAACTCATGCTCCAATGATCAAAAGTACATACTAGTTAACATACACACTGGTCAAGAAATAGTTTCCACTAGGGCAAATTATTGACCAACCATTTACAAATTGACTAATTTTACAGCCAGATATGGAATACTTTGTATGATCATGCATGAACATCTGCCCATCCTACTAAACTTTTTTTCAGTTCTTGACCCTATTCATCAATTATATTCTACTCTTATATATTAGTATAAGACTTCTGTTATTGGATACAGTAACATAAGTGCACATGCTCCACTTCATTGCAATTTCTGTAATATTAGTCAAACACTGCTGAAAGGTCAATAACATAAAAATGAGATATATAAGTATAATGTTATGAGATTTAAGTTACTTAGACTAAACATCTGTGGTTTCATGTTATAATCTGTAGTCATTCTAGAACAAAAGAAGCATAATTTATGTCTATTTCCTATCTTTTATGGTGGTTACAAGGTCAGTCAAATTGACCAAACCCATACAGAGATACAATAGTGAAAATACGAGATAAAATATAGTATTTTTTTAAAAAACGTTTGATAATTATCCGGAGGTTATTAGAAAGTTATAGATATTTCACATGTGAAATATGACAATTTTCTAATCCATAAAAGTATTTTTAATCTTAAAATCAAAATTTCTTTACATATTGGACAGTCAACATTCAAAAAGAAAAAATGCACGATCCAATAATTAATTAAAAAATCCAATATTTTGTGAACAAATGCCTTGTAATGTTTACTGATAATCTTCAGAATGTTTTGAAGTTATATGTACATTTTAAAAATTTACAGTATAAATGCTTCATGGTTACTTTGGGGGATACAGACTGTAGTAAAAGGGTTAAATAATTGTGTGTGTGTGTGTTTGTTTATGTGTGTATGTATGTATATAGTTTAAGAATATAGTTTAATACAGTTTAAGAAAATCATTGCTTCTTTGAAGAAAACCAAATGTATAATCTGATAGGAAACCACTACCTGAAGTAGATCCCTCTCTTATGTCCCACACCAGAACACGCCCATCATCACAGGCACTTGCAAAAACACAGTCATTTGTTGGATCTATTGAAATTCCATAAACAGCATCTTCATGTAAAAACATTTTCACTGTTTCACCACTGTAAGCAAAAAAAAATTATAAATTTATTCAGGAAATTAAACTTGATATATTCAAACACAGACAGAGAGATTTGAGGAGATATATTTATAGCAGGCTGCAATTAAAGATAATGACTTATACTGAAACATAGAAATACACATCATGTACACTACTGTGCAAACAATTTTCAAAGATAACATTGCCTGTATGAGTTTTATCACAAAAAAAAAAGTCAAAGGTGTATCTTGTATCAATCAGGAGGAGATGGTGTACACTAATTTTAAAATTTTCCTTACCTGAAAAAGTATTTCAGATAGACATCAACTGTGTACAGAGCTGACAGTTATTACATTGCATTACTGCAAAAAGTTTTTGTGCATGTGTCAAGCTTTTGAATAAAACCACCTATCCCTACACATAATAATGTGTAATGTGCCAGTTTATGATGCAAGTAGCATTAGACTATAGTTCTTGGGCAAAAGGAGGGCAACACATCCTCCAAGTGCAGTATTCCCCTTTTTCTTTCTTCTGAAGTGTGGCCTTGGAAGGTAGAATACATAATTACTGCTGAAAAAATCTTTTGGAAAATCCGACCTTAACAGCAGGCACTGAACAGGGACAGATGGGCTTAACACTTTCTGTTATCCCCACATGATGTGGATTTCTCTGTGTGGCAACACTAGCCACATGGCGAGTTACACAGTCATTTGTATATAGGCATATAGATATAATCCAGTTTACATGAAACAGTTCATTTGCCAACAAGTACAAAGTTACTGGGACATGACCAGACAAAAACCAAATGTGGTGGTCATAAGCCCAAGAATGAAACTAGAAAAAGAAAACAGAGCTCCAAAAAGAGAGTAATACCCTGTTAGCTGATGTAAGAAATGACGGTGGAGTTGTCTGAATGGATCATTACAGGATGTCCAGACAGATGATGACACGCTTGTGGAGCTACCAACATTTCCAGAATGTTGATGTGGAGAAACTGCTCCTCTGGAGACCAGACACTGGAAACAGTGCATGTGGCTAAAACCTCACTCCCATCCAACACAGGCATCCATGAACAGATGTAAGTCAGGGTAAGGTTAGAAAAAGGGAAGCCCATAGTCATTTCGGACTGATCAAACAACCACAACAGTAAAAGGTGAGGATATAGATGAATGAGGCTAATGTAAAAAGGAACCTCGGAGAAAGAACAGATACAAGTCCGAAGAAGGAAACGAAATCTCAACTGAGTTGTCCAAAGAAAAAAACTGGTACACAAAGAGAGTGTACCAATCCAGACAAAGAGGAAATACCACCAGGGCCATGCAGTCTAGGTCCAATGACCAAAAAAAGTCAAAGCTTGTTCTAAAGGGGAGTCACAAGTACATTGATAAAGGACTTGCAAAGTGGGAAACATCTACAAAAATACCAGGGAATGTAAAGACCACACTGTCTAAAGAATTTTGTCTTGGCGTAAGAGCTGATCTGCCACCAAATTCAAAGTCCCAAGAAAAAGGCTTATCTATATGTTGTTGTTATGAGCCCAAAAGTGGAGCTCTAGAACAAGAAGCAGAGGTTCCAAAAGAAAGCGCCTCCCTATCAGTTGATGTAAGAAACAAAGTGAAGTTGGTGAAATAAATCAAAACAGGATGTCCACATAGTTATAATAAATGATGATAGCAGATCCATTGAAATACCCACATCACAAGAACATTGATGAGGGAAGACCACGTCAAAGGAAACCAAATCCCAAAGGGATTAAGGTATCCATAATTGCACCCCACCTAGCTTTCAATATGGAATACATGAACAGGTAGAAGCATCATATATCAGAAATGTAGAAAATAAGGTTGAGTCCACCCACCAAACAAGGTGACAAAAGAGCCCCAAATGAATCAGGTACTGAATGGGAGTCAATACTGACTCAGAAGCTTGTTCAGCTAATCCAAACAAGCAGATTCCCACTGGAGAAGGAAGGTCCTAACAAATTTGTCCTCCTAGGACAGGGCTAGAGGTTACTAAATGTCCAGATAGTTGCTAAAATACAGACCCAATGAGTGCAGTCTCCATGTGAAATCCCTCAGAACTTAGTGAAAAACAAATAATTTGGAGCCATGAATGATAAAAAAACTCCTAAGAAAAACCTTGTGGGACACAAGGGTCTCCTGCAAAGTGTAAAAGCCAATCTTCCATAGGAAGGGTGAAGGGTGGTTCTACAAACAACTGATTACAAAGCCCAAGAGGGGAGACACCATAAAAAGGCCTCAGAATGACAAATTCCCTAAAAATTCCCTTAAAGAAAAGATGTCATATGGATAAAACAGAGGGAATACAACTAAAAAAAAAAAGTATCCCTATAAAGCAAATTTCAGAATCAAAGAAAGTGAACTGGGAAATAGCTGAAGAAAGAAACTGGGCAGCATGAAGAACAGGTTAGTAAAGCTTTACCCCAGTAAAGCTGTCAGTATAGTGATGAAGAGCCTCAGAAGGAAAGGGTAAAAAGGAATAGCAAGTTAAGAAGGTGAGTAAGAAAAGGATGAAGATTAAGGATAAAAATGTCAAATTACAAGAAGAAAAATTCCCAAGCTGAGAAGAGAAGAGAACCAAAGTATAGTAGCATTAGAAAAGTGGACAAAGTCAAACTATAGGCCATGGAAAAGGTAATCATAAATTCAGGGAGGACATGGCATCTGAAAGTTAAAACAAAACTTAGACTGAAAGAATTTGCTAAATGCAACAAACAAGTGGGAGAAGAAGAGAGGGGAACACATTGTATGAGTTGATGTGTTAGCAAGAAGCTCACTTAAAAACCAGCAGTATAAAACTGGAGTAAAAGAATATTTGTTATATACCTGAGTTATCAGATTAGTAAAGGGAAAAAGGTGGGTGTTACCTGATCCTAGTCAGATATTAAAAAACCAGAAGCAAAGTTGTTAGAAGAGTTGGTCACAGATGTTCAATTACAAGGCAGACTCAGCAAGAGACCATAAGTCCTGGGTCCATGTTGAACCAACCACATGATGTACAAGGTGTTAACACTGCTCACCATCTGAGTGATTCCAGCCACCACTGAAAGAAAATAATACAACTTCTATAAAGGAAAGTCTGTGCCTTAGGAGATTTCAAAAACAAGGATACTGTAAATCATTTGTAATGCAATCCAAAAAGGGAATAGAAAATATTTTTATTCTTTTTTTAAAATACATCTGGTACATCTGCAGTACTTAAGCCTTGGTGATTTTGTATTGATGAAGAATGTGATTATTGATATGGGGACCAGTCCTGTCAAAGACACCATGTCTTAGACTCAGGAATACAAGTCCTAAAATCACACAATTTGATTAAGAGAAGAGACAAGAAAAGAACGAGTCTTTAGTATGCTCAATGTATTCAAGGGGGGTCACTGCACATGGAAGATTTTGCACCCTCCTATTGGTGGAGGACTGCATCTAATGTTGACGGTATGACAAACTGACATATTACATGTAGGGGTGGGAGATTCATTTAAAGATTTGGTAGTAGCATGAGGTAATAGCTCTCAGTTCTGTGGAGAAGCGAGTAGCTTTTCTGAAAAGAAGTCTAGCACTTGGGAACAATAATCATGAATTTTGTTTATCTTCTTAAGTTTTGGAATGCTAAAAAAAATAAAGTTACATTTTGGTTAAAATTCATTTGAAGTTCCTGATTAACAACAATTTAACAAAGATGCCCAAACAAAATGAGTTCTACCAAATTCTTATACTTTTTGGCCAGTCTTACAATATTGCCAGCATCTGTACATGTACTGCAATAATAGATACAAAGGACATGCAAACAGCAGAAAAATCAGAAAAACATTCAGAAGTCATTACACAATACAATCAGAGTTAGTACACATCTAACCACCAAAAGACAAGAGAGCGCAAAAGTACCATTTACAACATCTCTTGCGAATGTGGATTCCAATACATTAGATTAGTTAGATTTCAAGAGTATAATAGTCATGCAAGACTCTGTAATACTGACCTATCTACAATAGCCCATCATGTCAGAGAAGATTATACAATACAATAAAATAAAATTATGGGAAGAAAAAATTAAAAGAAGCTTTCTACATGTACATCCAACTAGTTGATAGCACACATAGAAAACTTAGCATAGAAGACAGCAAAAGCTGAATATTCTTCTTAAGCATGTGGCCACTGACTGTCTGACATCCCATACAACTTTTCCCAAACCTCACTGTGCAGCAAAAAATGAATTACAATACTCAGTGAAAGTAATTCAATTGTTATTAGTGTTGATTAATAGAAATTTAAATATTTGTATGCTTGTTTCAAATAAAATGTTTCAAAATAGAAAAATAATACAGACAAAATAAGTAAATACATTAAGCAACAGATCGCTTTCGACTTCTGAATCATCCCGTTCATTCACAACCACATTTATATCCCACAACAGCTTTTCAAAGCTGCACTGACCTGCAGAACCTTCATAGATAACAGAAGATGGAGCTGTGTGGCAGTGGCAGAGAAATAAGGTGATTTGTGTGATAACACTACACAGCAGCCTTCAAAGAACAACAGGATTCTGTGCAGAACTGTTGAAATTAGCAACACAAGAATGCAATCGTTGACTTGTATATTATTTCTGTGGGTGTAAGGGCAATATGCCTCTCCATAATTCTTTATAATATGATTAGAGCATTTTATTTCCTACTAAAACAGGAGCAATTTAAGACAAATCAGAGGAGTAGGCAGATCCGTGAATCCCTTTAAATACATAGTTGATCCAAGTCCCAATGAGGATGAGAGCTCAGGGGGATGGATAGCTTATCTGCCTTTCTAGCAAGAAGACTCAAAACTGAATCCAGTTACTGTCACCAAATACAGTGTTCCTCAGGTCTTCCCTGAAGACAACTACAAAGGAGCAGCAAATAATTAGGATATTAACTAATTAGTAATTAGCATCTAGTAATACTGTAATACTAAAAATAAAAAAATGAGTAACTATTTAGACTAAGGTGCTCATGTAAGCTTTTAACCATGATGATGACTGTTAACATTATTTGAACTTTTAAAACAGAAAAAAAAGTTTTATTATTTGTAACACTATTCACCTTAACATACACATTCTTTAATCCTTTGAATGCAGATATGTCAAAGTGCATTTGTCATAACGTTTTACAGTTACATTCAAAATCTAATTAACCTACTTTATTATCAATGTATGTCAATAAACTTTGCATCAAAATAGTTAATAGATCAAAGTTTAATATACATTTCAATTTTTTAATTTCAAAAAGATATATTTAAATAAATTCTCAACCTCCACTTTTCTGTATCACGTGACATTTGTTTGCTCCAAATTGTCCATTTTTGATTTTCTCTTCACCCCTATATGATTTCCAAGTTTAACCTAAGTTACAAATTCATAGTTTGATATTAAACCTTCAACTGCAGTTGGCATCATACGATGCAAGCATTTTGCATGCAACATTTTGAACAGACCATCACAAAAATTTGAGCATCTTTGCACATTGGGTGGTAAGCAGATTTACACAAGCTACAAACAAGGGGTTAATAAGGAATAGTTTAATTTTATAGCCTTCAGTCTTCTTGGTTTATGTAGATATGAGCCAGAAAGTCAAACTTGCCATGAATTCCTATCAAATCCTGTCTTTCACAGAATGTCAATAACTCTCTCTTACATTTCATCTTGGGTTATTTTTAACGAAAGAGAAAATTCTTCTTCACTAATTTCTATATAATGCTAACTGTTCTGACAACAGCAATTGAGTTATTTGGTCTACAGATTCACTGTTACATATATACACCATGTAAGTGTATTATCTTAACACATTTATACTTTAATTAGAAAGCCTATTAAATTATAATAGTTATGGAA